TGGACACGGGCTAGGCATGACTGGCCTCGGCACTAGGCGCTGCTGGGCGCGGGCAGTGCGGCTGGCACTGGCCCTGGCACTGGCCGGGCGCGAGGGACGCGGAATAGGCGCGTACCCGGGCTAACTGGGTACTGGGCGTGCGGCTGGCACGACCCAGGTGCGACTGGCGCGAGAAATGACACGGCCAGACATGACTCGTGCGTCTCAGGTGCGACTATGGCTTGTCAGGGCGCTGCCGGGCGACCCTGGGCACGCGAGCGTGCTGTTGGGCACGTCCCGAGGCCTGTTAAGTTACTCGGGGTCAATAAGGCACAGTACTACACACTCGGGTGTGCTGTTGGCACGATCCGAGGTCAGCAGCGCGTGGCACGAGTGACTGTCCCGGGGTCGCGCATACCCGGCACTGGGACAGCACTGCCGGCATGGCCGCTATGTGCGGCAGCATGCCGTGACCGGCCCTTGCCGGCCGTTCAGCCACTTTCCTTGATCAAAATGACATGATTAACACATTTATACATACATGGGTCTGAGGGTCAAGATAAAACATGAAATTTGATTTTATTTAGCATGACGGGCCACGGCGTGCGCGATAGGCGCGTCCGACGGCCCTTGGCGTGTACCCTCGACCAAACATGATATTTTCTCGGGCAAGATGAATAGATTGACCATCATTTATCATTTAAAGGCTGTTGGAATACAAATGTCCCTAATAAAGTTTATCACAATGAAAGATACCCTAGTAGGGTAAGACATGGCCCGTGGGCGCGTGCTACGTGCACGGTCCACTTTCCTTGGCCATTTCATCAACAAATCGACAATTTATCTCGGGCTATCTTTTAAAACTGAACATATCACATTAAATACAGACTAATGATGCATGGTTTGCTCGAGAGAAGTTGGCTATATAAGGAGATGTTATAATATGGCCTAAAATGCACACCCGAGAGCATTTTCGAAGAATACATGAACTTAGACCCATAATTTGAACTTGGTATGATACAAGTAACATCATAACAGGGTTAGAATCATATTACCCTTTGATTGCTCGAAGAAATTTGATAGAATGTTGATGATGGTTTGGTCCTTTTCTTCTTCCTTGCGCGCGTACGTAGGTTGTGATTAAAATATCTTAATCTCGATTATAGTTTGCTTAGGACATAGCTTAAGTTATATGATGGAAATATGTCCAAGAGTTGGGATTTATAAGCGTGAAAATGGATCAAAACGTGAAGTAATATGCGTGACCAATAAGCTCGTGGCAAATGGCACGTCCTAAGGGCACGAGGTGGATTTTTGCTTGCTTAGTCACCACATACTTGGCACAAAAGGGCCACTTGGCTAAGGTGATGGATATTCACGTGATTTGCTCCAATCTTTTGTCCACTTGAGCTAATTAAATACTTAAGCACGCTTAGGACTCGATTATGCGTGATTAACCTAGATTAAGGCGATTAGAAGAAAATTAAGCACCCTAGTCGTGCCATTAGCAATGTTTAAGGACATATGATAGTAGAATGATTACTTAGGCTTAAAATGAACATAATTGAGGTACTTAAGGAACCATTAAGTACGATTATGCGTATGATTACGCACGATTAGCGCAAGATTAGCACATTTATCGCTCGATTAAATATGATTTAATTTGATAATATTTTTATCGGGCGATTGAACATAAATTGACTTATACTTTGGATTCCGAGAATAATATGAACATTACGAGGCTAAGTACGTAATTTACATTAGGTAAAAATGGGCTATTACAATCTGTCCTCCTTAAAATATTTCCGTCCTCGGAAATATCAAACTGAACACCTATACATGATACATGAGAAATATATACATCAAAACTGAAAATCAGGAAAACGAGCGCGAATATCAGCTTCTCGCTCCCAAGTGGCACCGTGGCGATCCCACTGAATACGAACGAGGGGAATCTCGCGATTCCGGAGTCGACGAACCTCTCGGTCCAAAACGGCTACCGGTTTCTCCTCGTAAGATAAGTCTGGTTGAATCTGGATGTCAGTATGCTGAAGAATATGATCTGGATCGCACACGTATTTACGTAACATGGACACATGAAAAACATTATGAACATTGGATAATTCGGGAGGCAAGGCTAAACGGTAAGCGACTTCGCCCACTCGTTCGAGAACTTCGAACGGGCCAATATAACGAGGATGCAACTTTCCTCTATTTCCGAATCGAATGATCCCTCGGAATGGACGAACTTTAAGAAAGGCTCGCTCCCCAACTTCAAATTGAATATTGCGTCTGTGCTGATCGGCTGACGATTTCTGCCGACTCTGAGCTGCCTGGAGTCTTTGTCTGATCAACTCTACATCTGCCGCCGTTTCCGCGATCCTGTTCGGACCAAGTATTCGGCGTTCACCGACGTCGTCCCAATAAAGAGGGGAACATTTACGACCGTATAGTGCTTCGTAAGGAGCCATTTGAATGGAGGAATGATAACTGTTATTATAAGCAAATTCACATAATGGTAATAACGACTCCCACTTAGCACCCCTGTCAACAACCAAAGATCGCAACATATCTTCCAGTGTTTGAATAGTCCGCTCGGATTGTCCGTCAGTCTCTGGATAATAAGCCGAACTGAATTCTAATCTGGTGCCCATCGCCTTGTGCAAACCTTCCCAAAATCTACTAGTGAATCTGGGATCCCTGTCTGACACAATAGTAACAGGCACTCCGTGGAGTCGAACAACTCCCTCGGTATAAATCTCGGCTAGTTTGTCCAAAGACATATTCATCGATACTGGCATGAAATGAGCAACCTTAGTCAATCTATCCACCATGACCCAGATAGCATCGTGATGTTTAGATGACTTCGGTAGCCCTGTAATGAAATCCATCGTGACTTCCTCCCACTTCCACTTCGGAATCTCGAGTGGTTGCAGAAGGCCCAAGGGACTCTTGTGTTCTGCTTTGACTTGTTGACAGGTTAAACATTTCTTTACAAAGTTGGCAACGTCCTTCTTCATTCCACGCCACCAGAACGATCTTTTCAGGTCATGATACATCTTCGTACTTCCCGGATGAGCTAAATAGGGTGCGGTATGAGCTTCTGACAAAATTTCCTTCCGCAACGCTTCGACTTTCGGCACTACGATTCTACCTCGAAATTCTAAGGCTCCATCTGAGCCCAATTGGAATCCTTCGACACCTCTGGCATGGACTTTAGCATTAATAACACGGATAAATTCATCAGACATCTGTTCCCGCCGGATTCTCTCCCTTAACGTTGGTTGAACCTGCATAGCACTAACACTCCCAATATTCGCCGTAGGAAGTGCATCAACAATCTGAATTTGCATCCGAGCGAATTCTTGGATAAGATGGTTCTGCTGAGTAACGACGTAAGTTAAATCACCCTTCACCTTGCGGCTTAGGGCATCAGCTACAACATTCGCTTTCCCCGGATGATATTGAATGGTACAATCATAATCTTTCACAAGTTCTAACCAACGTCGCTGACGCATGTTGAGCTCTTTTTGAGTAAAAATATATTGCAAGCTCTTATGATCAGTGAAAATTTCGCAAATGTCCCTAACAAAGTTGATCACGATGAAAGATAGCCTAGTAGGGTAAGACATGGCCCGTGGGCGCGTGCTACGTGCACGGTCCACTTTCCTTGGCCATTTCATCAACAAATCGACAATTTATCTCGGGCTATCTTTTAAAACTGAACATATCACATTAAATAAAGACTAATGATGCATGGTTTGCTCGAGAGAAGTTGGCTATATAAGGAGATGTTATAATATGGCCTAAAATGCACACCCGAGACATTTTCGAAGAATACATGAACTTAGACCCATAATTTGAACTTGGTATGATACAAGTAACATCATAACAGGGTTAGAATCATATTACCCTTTGATTGCCCGAAGAAATTTGATAGAATGTTGATGATGGTTTGGTCCTTTTCTTCTTCCTTGCGCGCGTACGTAGGTTGTGATTAAAATATCTTAATCTCGATTATAGTTTGCTTACGACATAGCTTAAGTTATATGATGGAAATATGTCCAAGAGTTGGGATTTATAAGCGTGAAAATGGATCAAAACGTGAAGTAATATGCGTGACCAATGAGCTCGTGGAAAATGGCATCCTAAGGGCACGAGGTGGATTTTTGCTTGCTTAGTCACCACATACTTGGCACAAAAGGGCCACTTGGCTAAGGTGATGGATATTCACGTGATTTGCTCCAATCTTTTGTCCACTTGAGCTAATTAAATACTTAAGTACGCTTAGGACTCGATTATGCGTGATTAACCTAGATTAAGGCGATTAGAAGAAAATTAAGCACCCTAGCCGTGCCATTAGCAATGTTTAAGGACATATGATAGTAGAATGATTACTTAGGCTTAAAATGAACATAATTGAGGTACTTAAAGAACTATTAAGTACGATTATGCGTATGATTACGCACGATTAGCGCAAGATTAGCACATTTATCGCTCGATTAAATATGATTTAATTTGATAATATTTTTATCGGGCGATTGAACATAAATTGACTTATACTTTGGATTCCGAGAATAATATGAACATTACGAGGCTAAGTATCTAATTTACATTAGGTAAAAATGGGCTATTACATGAACGATGTGGGACAACTTACAAGTGATATTCTAACAGAACATTTATACTCTTGCTAAAAATCTTGTTTTCTGTTCTTTTTTTTTTAGTAATGTTAGTAGGTGCGCTTCTAGCTTAGTGTTAGCTAGGAAGGCCATTGAGGAAAGTAATGTTTGATTTCCGGTTGGAATCTTCAAGTTTTTTGGAGTTGATCTCTTGTTAACTAATTGGCTGGTCGGTTGTATTTATTTGGAGCAATGAAAGTTTATATTGTTGCTAATTTTTATTTTTATTTTTTATTTTTTATTTATTTAATTATTTATTTTTAGAAAAAGTCTCGTTCACCCCTCCTTTGCCTCAAGTATATATCAAATATAATAATATGTGGTGTCGCCGCGAGACAACACCACTCTCTTCCGCCATACCAGAAATTAGATTACATCAAATATTGCTACACATTCCAATCTCACCATTTTCCTGACCGTTAATTATAAGAAACGTCATGGCAACACATGATGCAACCGAGGGAAAAACCTAAAATTCCTATCGATTTTTTTTTTTATCTGGAAATTCTTCCATGGCCCTCCTCTGCAATCTGCAGCCACTCGCAGCTGCATTTCATATACGACACAATAAATTGCAAATAGCTCGCCATCATTTATATCCCCGTTTCAATCAAGAAAAATCCCAATTTTCCGCTTGTCCGGGATTCCATTATATCCTACCAGTAAAATCAGCTTCACTTAATGGATACCCCATTAACAAAGAAGACGATTGCGGCCTTCCATTGATCGATAGTGAGAGAATAGAGTTGAGCGAGAAGCTGAAGAAATGGGTTCAGTTTGTGAGAGAAATCTTGCCCGGTGGAAACTGGTGGAGGCTCTCATCAGAAGGCGTTGATAATGTCATTTCGGCAAAGCCCGTGACAGTTTTGCGGGCCCTTAGAAAAATGTGGGAGATGATTGCCCACGATAGATGGGTTGTATTTACTGCGTTTGCTTCACTCATTGTCACTGCGGTATGTGTCTGATTCAAAGTTAATTTTTTACTCACTTGAGTTAATTTCTGCTTAGTTTATAGATAAAGCTTGATGCATTCGTTGTGATCATGTTTCATAGAAGCGTTGGTTTTGTGGTTTATTTTTCTGCTATTATGAGTTTGTTAGGTAGTTCTTGTTCACTGTTTGACCCGAGGATACATTGAGGAAAACTNNNAAAAAAAAAAAAAAAAAAAAAAAAAAGGAAACAGAAAAAAGAGTGGCTGACTTTCCGAATAGGATATCATGGGTTCCCTCATTTCATGTTCAGGTTGTTGGATATTGGGTACTAGCATGTTTGTTTGTGAGATTGAGTTTACTCAATTTTATTAGTTAAGCATACCAATACACATGCAATAGCGCCTTGTTGTTTACTTTCATTATTCTAAAGATATGTTCGGTAAAATATAAAAGTGCTGATTGATTTTTCCAGAAAAACTTTGGATGTTTTGGTTGTTTCGTTGATGAAAATTGTTAACTGAATTTTCCTAGTGGTGGTGAAATCACATGTAATTTTTTCAGCCAGGAAACCCTTTAACTTAATACTCAATTCCTCATTAAAATTAGTCATTTGTAATTATTTTCAACGCCTAGAATTTCGCGCAATAATTATTTCAGTTCTATGGTTCAAATTTCAGAATTCAAGTTCAGTTTTATCAAACAAGTCTAAGGTTTTGTATCTACTCGTTCCATATGTTATTTAGTGCTGAATTGCTTTCTTATGACTCAGGTTTCCGAGATAGCAATCCCTCATTATCTGACTGCATCAATCTTCTCTGCGCAAAGTAGTACAATCACCCACTTTCACAAGAACGTGCGCCTCTTGGTTATACTGTGTATCACTGCTGGAATATGCAGGTTAAGATCTTGTACGGTCATAACCTCCCTTTCTTCTAAACAAGTAGTTGTTTGTTTGGTAGACTATTGTTTAAATACTGATCCTTTTCTCTGTTCATCAAACTTGCAGTGGTATCCGAGGTTGCTTGTTTGGCATTGCAAATATGATCCTCGTGAGTTGCCTGACCTTTCTTTTATATATCTACAGCTTCTATTGACAATAAAGATGCTGGTTTTGTTTATGAAAGATGAATTTGTTGAAGAGCATCTGCCAAATCTTCAATGATAATTGAATGAAAAATACAATCATGACTTCTGCTGCATTCACCTCTTATATGGAATAACAGCTCGTAAGAGTTACTTGTTAAAATAGTCATAAGAGAAGCTAAGGTCCGATATTTCCTTGCCACTAATCAATGGTTCGTGCACTTTTCTGATATCGTGAAACAAATCTATTAAATATTATTTTTTTTAAGTTTCTCCAACTGGAAAGAAAGAAAAAGATAAAATATTGATTTTCAGGTCAAGCGACTGCGGGAAAGATTGTACTCAACTCTTCTTCTTCAGGTTAATTGAATCTTGTAATCTTGGCCGTCAACTAAGTTTTGTATTTCTTTTTTGTTAGACATCCTTAGACATTGTTTAACAAATAATTGCTTTCTTTTGTAGGATATTTCCTTTTTTGACTCAGAAACAGTTGGTGATTTGACGAGTAGGCTGGGTTCAGATTGTCAACAAGTCTCTCGTGTGATTGGAAACGATCTAAACCTGATATTGCGCAATGTGCTTCAGGTTAGTTGTTTATGTTATGTTGAAAACCGTGTTTTAAGCTTTAGCTGTGAGCTGAGAATCTCAATATTGTCAACCGTAGGGTTCAGGTGCTCTGGTTTACCTTCTCATTCTTTCATTGCCACTTGGACTATGTGTACTCACAATTTGCATCTCCCTCTCAAGCATTATGCTAATATATGGCCAGTAAGTTATTTAGATAAATCCTTTGTTAACTATTGAGTTTTTCTCCTTCACATTATTATTTATTTACTCCACTTATTGATAATTGTGTGAACTTGACATGTGGCCTTTTTGTGGGAATACTTGTAGAGTCTTAAGTTTCCTGTAACTAGATAGGGTTGTAACTAGATTTGGTTGTATTCATCGTTAGAGTTTTACTAATTTTAGAACTCTTTTTAAATTGGTATTTCATATTTTTCCTTTTGTAGTTCCAGTGCTAATCTCTCTTCATCTTGTCTCTTGTTTAGGTATCAAAAGAAATCTGCTAGGTTAATTCAGGAGTTCACTGCATCTGCCAATGAAGTAAATAAGTAAATCAGACTTCTTATATAAAAATGTTAGTCAATATGCGGTTGCTTGATTTCACAAAACATTGATTTTCTATAGGTAGCGGAAGAGACATTCTCTTTGATGAGAACTGTACGGGTTTATGGGACAGAGCAACAAGAACTTGAAAGGTAAATTACATGACTATTACATTTATCACCTTATTATCTTTTTTTGTCGATGATAATATAAGTTGATGATGCTTGCTTTTACTCTATCTCCTTACAAGATATGGAAGTAGTTGTTATCATTGAATGACCATTTTGTTTTCAGCAACTCTTATAATCACATACGATAAATACTATTTAATATTACTTATTTATGTAGTTATAAGAATAATATATTTGATAAAAATGTACTTTTATATTTTTTATAAGATTAAAAAGTTCTTGATTTTTTTTTTTCATTGTTTGATAAAATATTAAGTAACTAACTCATTTTAATATTTATTGAAAATATATGTTACACCCATTATTCCCTTTCATGCAGTAATTTAATAATAGTTTAACATACAACACATTTATTTTTCATTTTAATTCGCATAGTTAATGTTGGTAAATATATCACAAATAATTGTTTTACATCCATTTGTACCTTTTTATTATTAGCATGAATATTTCAAATCTACGAATATACCACAAATTTATCTTATGTTATTTTATACTTAATTAAATTGCTTTAACATGAATTTTAGAATGACATTTGTTACTTGTGCGACTTACATGTGTTACATTATAGTAATTTTTATAACTTATGTCATATAACTACTTGAAATATATAGTATATTAATTGATAATTAATTTTTTTTTCTAATTAATATTAAAAAATAATTGTATTATTGTTATAAAGATAAATATAATTTAATTTTTTTTATACATAGAATATGGATGTTAAATTGAAGCTCATCAAGAGATGATTAATTTGATATATTATATATGTAAAACTGATAACAAATGCAAAAGTTATTAACTTTTAAAATATATTTATAATTCAATGGTTATAATAAGAAATGATATTAAAATGCAATTAATACATGTAACATGATCATATATAATCAGCATATTTATGGATAATCCGAACCTAATTATTTTTGGATTAGAAATAAATTAAAATCTACATAAGCCTAATAACGAAGCATGTAATTTTGCCACATATGATCCCGAAGCATGCGGACATGCAACATAGGCTCAACGCGTTTTGAATTAATATATAGGGGGATAATAGGGAATGATATTAAAATGCAATTAATACTTCTAATCTAAATGACCATAAAGAAGCAACATATTTATGGATAATCCGAACCTAATTATTTTAGGATTAGAATTAAATAAAAATCTATCCAAGCTAAATAATTAAACATGAAATTTTGCCACATAGGATCATGAAGCATGCAGGTCTGCCACTTAGATTCAACACATTCGAGAATTATATATAAAAGGATATATATAGATATATCATTTAGATTTTTTAAAAAATGCATAAAACTAAGTATAAAACTTTTTGGCTTTTATGTCTTATTATATATCAATTAATTGTATATCTTTACTACGTTATATATAATTACAATTTTTTCAATAATACTATACTCAAATATATAAATTTTTTATTTTGTCCATTTTTTTAAGAAAAACAATGCTTTATTATAATCATATATTGATATCAATAGATAAATGAGTAATGATATTATATCGATAAAATTTATTGGTAAAAATTTAATGTATTTTGAACTTATGGCATATCATGATTCCCAAACTATTTTTAATTAATTTGTATAATTATATGGTCAGAATTCAATCATATTGCCCAATTAGTATCCATTTCGACTTGAAAACAAGTAGACTGAGTTTTAGTATTATACAACAACAACAACATACCCAGTATACTCCCAACAGGGTGGAATCTGAAGGGTCAGTAGTACGCAGACCTTACCCTTGTAATTATACAAAGAAGCTGTTTCCGTAGCGACCCAAGGTGCATTGTGCCGTTTGATATATATTTTTTTTCTAGAAACTTCACTAATAGAAGAAGCACTAGAATTTAATTGAGCCATTTTGATCTAGTCCATTATTAGCACTATGCTAGGAGAATTGTCAACAATGACTCTTCCAGCTCCATTTGTAATGGACAAAAGTTTTAGTATTATACAATTTCATAAAATTATTCTAATCTTATTTTAAGCAAAGAAATTAAGTAGATTATTGAAAAACAACCATTCAACCATTAATCTCTCATACTATTACACAATTTATTTTTATTATAGGTAATTCTGAAAAATAATATTTTTATACTTTGTGGTCGTTATGCTTACAAACAATACCGATTTTACAATATTTACTTACAGTTATTAATAAATATTTACTTATAGTTATTAATAATCAAACAAACTCTCAAATTTTATTAATAAAATCGTAAAATCATTTAAGAATCTTAAGATAATATCAATAAATAAAATATTTAACCTATGAAAATTTTAATCCTCATTGTTTATTTAGTGCCCATCTTGGCTCAAATAAAGTATTAATAATAAAAAATCGTGATTTATTTTAGTTAATATTAATAATTGAATGAAAAAGTTCGAATATTGTAAGTGTTAATAATTTAAGTATTAACCCTGATATTAAATACCTAATGGACACGTGAAAATTCGTTTACTTTATTGTCTTTGCGACCAATATTGATTAAAAAATAAACAAACAAATAAATGACGATTTTTGTGGGGTCATATTTCAGTTGAATAAGACTAAGGTGCAATTTCTATTATAATTCTAAATCAAATATTTATAATTTTTTTAAATAATGAAGTAGTTCTCAATGAATTGTTCCATTTTCCAAGAAATTTCTATTTTAATTCTATACAAAATAGTTATTTTCTTAAATAATGAAGTAGGTAATGAATTGTTCAATTTTCTAGTTTGCTAGATTATGTATATATCTCACGTGTCTATTATTTCAGTAAAATATTAGGTATATTTTCTTAATTAAAATTAAGTATGTATGTGTCGATTTATTTATTATATACAAGTTAACGCTCAATTAAATTATCATTTTATAACAAGAGTTATCGTTTTGTTAAAATTGTCGATAGGTAAATGAATAGTTGAAAATATTTGAATTCTTTATATTTATTTATTATGTTGTTTTTGTTGGATCAATTTTCTTTAAAGAACTTTTAATATTAACTAAAATTATGAAATGCGGTTACAATTTTACCATTAAAATTATATTAAATATAAGGACGTTTTTCAAAACATCAAATATATATCATTTCAAAACTTTGTTGTTTGGCTTGATTTTTGGGAGATATGAAAGAAACAGTTTTACAGATATGTGGAAGAAAGCAAATTCGTGAGGAATAATGGTGCGAGAATATTGAGGTTGATTTTTAAGAGATGTGGAACGTTTTGTTTGTGTATTTGTATTTAATTAATTAACTATTAATACAAGGTAGAATAGGTAGTCTATTAGTAATTTGTCATATTTTAATATGAAAATATAATGATTTTATAGGTAGTCTATTCTTTAATTAAAAATTTAAGATAAGATGGGTATTATTGTTTTACTAATTTGTCATTACAAATATGACAAAGCAAGGGATTTTGGGCAATTCATATATAATATCCATTTCTGTGTTCAGAAGATTTTAAATAGATTTGTCATTCTTGCGCAAAAAGTATATGGATGCAGATAATTTGGAATTAAGGCTTGGGCAACCATATAATCCACTATCTATGTTGTCTCTCCTCCCCTTGCATAGAATATCATTGGGGTCAGGGTTGAGACTCTATTTAAATAGATTAGATTAGTATTTGATACATAAGATTAGCTTGTGTGGAATAAAATTTTCGGCTTTAAGCTTCAGCAGGAAGTTTCTTCCCGAAGTGTCGGCCTTAGGCTCGTCCCGAGTTATTTGTGAGTTAATTTGTTAACTAATTCTATCCCGCCCAAGCTAAAAAGCCGACAAGCAATATTATCTCTCTCAATACCTGATCATCACTTCCTCACTATCCTTTTATAAACATATTATTTATTTAAGGTTATATTTAATAAAGAATAAAAATGATAACGATTTGATAGCCTTCCATGCCAAGTAGGATCCATGATTCCAGTAAATCCCTTGATTTGTCCCTTACTTATTTTATTTCATTCTTTCTTTCCTTCCCATGATTTACTTTTCTAATCTCTATCGATTCTATATTTGCACAATCTACACTAACAGGAATTAAGTACCAGAAAAAATAACAAACTAAAAGGAAAGTGAAGAAAAATTGATTATGGAACTGAAAAGTGAAAAAGAAAAGATGAAAAGAAAGAATAGTAAAGTAAAAAAGAGGTGTTTGGGTTGGAACACTTTTGAAGAAAAATATAGGAATTTAGAGCATCTCCAATGTGACTTTTGACATTATAAAAAATCATACATATCATCAACTTTTGAAAGTATGTTACTAATTTATTCTCCAATGATCTTGTCATGAACTATTTCATGATGAGGCGGATGTCATTTAATGTTGACAATGTTGAGTTCACTTTCTAATTTTTAACACCACCATGTTTAACATGATGACTCATCAATTCATTTTATATTTGATATTTGGTTTAATTTTTTAGTGTTTTTTAATCAATGAATTACTTTAATTGGTCCACATATATAAATAACTTCTTACCAAGTTGATGCATTGGAGATACTAGTTTGATTCAAATTTTTAACCTTTTAACATTATTCCTATGTGGATTAACATTGCAATCATTAATTGACATGCGATAAAAATCATTGTCTCTTCAAGCCATAGCTCTTACTTGAGCTGAAAGAAGGATTGGCACCGTTTACGCTTTGAGATTTTGCAAAATTGAGACTTTCCTCTTGTAGCCCTAAGAAATCGTTTGTAGCAGATGAGGGCAAAATTGGTAATGTACATCAATAATCCCAAAAGTTGCCAAGTGAAACAAACGTGATGAAGAGTTTAACCATGTCCCATATGAACTCCCAATCATAAATAACAACAACTATGGGTTGAATTTAACGTACAGTGTAAACCACACACCATGTAATAATTTAGTCCAAATTCCATCTCGAAAAACAAATGTGCCCTTAGGGTATCTATATATTTGACGTAATTTCCAAGATTCGTCTATATATATATTATATATGGATTTATATATATTCTTATTCAACTGTAAAATCTGCCTTACTGTCATACTTAAATCCAAATATTCTTATTCTTTTGGTGAGTAGGTATCAGCAATGGCTAGAAAGATTAGCTAGCATAAGCTTGCGACAAAGTGCTGCATATGGATTTTGGAACTTCAGCTTCAACACTCTATATCACTCAACACAGGTTGAACATAACCATGTCACAACACATGATAAACATTGATGCAATTGTCCTTCTCAAGCTAGTTTTACTGTTATCTCTTTACCTTTTCTTTCTTTCTTTCTTCCTTCCATTTTTAAGAGGAGCTTAGTGTTTAATGTCTAGTTTTACTGTTATCTCTTTACCTTTTCTTTCTTTCTTTATTCCTTCTATTTTTAAGAGGAGCTTAGTGTTTAATGTTGATAGTCTCTGAAAAATTATTTTATCATTACATTTATTTTTGTATGTTCATCATGAGCTTCATACATGTTCTGGCTTTTCTCTAAACTTGGAATAAATGAATGAGAGGTACCTTTGCAAGCAACCTCTGAATGTCGTTTACGAACTTGGGTTTATGGTATTGTCTTAAAAATTAATTTTGCTTATGTGTTTTTCTATGTTTCTCATGAACATCATACATGCTCCGGATTTTCTCTAAACTTGGAAAAATGCATGACAAGTACCTTGGGACCTCTGAATGTCATTTATGAACTTGGGTTTTATGATATTTTTATGCAGCACATACCAATTCCATTCCAAGTTCTAGTTTTCCCTATTCTAGATGATGGGGTCTTTCCTTACTAGGTATTCAATTAGTTGATCATCAAGTAGTGGCATCTAAGTTTAGATTTGTACTTCGATATATAATACGTCCCATTGTCTAAGTCAAATTGGTTCATTAGTCTCTTCTTTGTAGGATCTAACTGAAATATTTGCTTGATTATTTAGAATCGAGATGTTTGTAACTTAAAACATAAGTTCTTGCAGGTTATTGCTGTGCTGATAGGAGGAATTTCTATTCTGAGTGGAAATATAACAGCCGAGCAGCTTACTAAGTTCATTTTGTACAGTGAATGGCTAATCTATTCAACATGGTGGGTTGGGGATAATTTATCATCATTGATGCAGTCAATTGGAGCAAGTGAAAAAGTCTTTCACCTTATTGATCATCCACCCAGTCACCAGTTTACTGCAAAAGGTATGCCCTTTTTCATAACTAAAGATCAATATGTAATTTCTCGTTTGCATGTTCTCTACTGAACATTTTAATACCTGAAATCTTAGGGCCCATTGCCAACAAAATCAATGCCTATGGAGTGGAGATTCGAGCCATATTATAAAAATTTTAGTCTCCATATTTTATTTTGGTTTTAGGGTCGCTATTTGTTTGGATCATCATGATTTATTGCAGTTACAGAGAGCATGAGGGTTCTCTTTAGTTGTCTTGTCGTTTCTGTTACACATAATCATTATAGGATTGCTTGGGAATATTAGTCTGCTGATGCGAAAATAACTTATTTATTTTTGACCCGCTATTAATGAGAGGATCATACAATCAAACAGAGAGACCTATTTGATTAGTTATTAAGGTTACTTTTCTTCCTGCCTTCCATTTGTACTAATTTGGCCTTGGGGATGGCCCTTGCATTCATTGACAGCGTCACAGAATACCCAAGAATTTGATTTTGATTTGTGAAGCCGTCAGCACAGAAAGGTTTCTGTTTGGAAAAATGGAACAATGTCTTGATAAATCTGAATTTTTGTTTTTTTCCTTGTCCGATGGTCCAAGAAACTGCACGTTTCCAACTTAACCTTGTCGAATTCTCACAGCTTGATTGGATTGACATTGATATATAATCTAATATACTGCAGGGTCAAAGTTGCATAAGTTGATGGGACAAGTTGAATTTGTGGATGTATCCTTTCACTATCCTTCCAGAACTGAGGTGAGCTTATCATCTTTCCTTGCACATGCAGCTTGCACATGCAGCGCACGTGATTAGTAATACTTTTATAGGATTTAAAAGTTATATTATTATTGAAATTATGCTAAAAATTCAAAATTTTCTATTAGTATAATAAAATAGGAACTAAATATATAATAAATTATTTAAATGTATTCGCACTGAAACATAATCTTTAATGGTATTAATTAAAAGTTATAATTGAATAAAAATAAATAAATAAATTTGTCTTAAAAATCAAAAAATGAAATCAATCAAATTGAAGTGATTTTTTACTGCTAATGAAGTGTCATTTATCTATCGTTTGTTAACTAATGTTGTCTTGACCATTGATTGAAATCATGATGGTAGTTGTCTTTATATTTTGTAATTTTTTATATCTTCCTTCCGTTGTCATCCTTTGTCACTGTTGCTTGTAGAGATTAGATTTAATTGTTACTTCAATGTTAATAACGTCATTTGGATGTTTTCTCTTACTTATCTATGATATATTTTTGTGAATGACTTTAGCCAAAAATAATCATGCATTATACACAAATGTAAAATTTTTATTTCAATTTTTTTTTTGAGTAAAAAATATATATTTTATTAATAAAAATGTTTTTTTTTTCCAACTTATTAAAAAAAAAGATTCCAAATAATAATAATACTTATGCTCACCTTTAATAATACACATGATATAAATCTATTTTTATGCCAATATATATTGAATGTATTTTAACTAAAAGCTAATTAACATTGTTTGGATATTTTCTCTATCTTATCTTTCGATTATAACGACAATATTGTGTTGTTACAGTTAGTGAGCCTTTTTTTGCCCACAAATGTAATGATATGAAATATAAAAATTTATTTGGAAAATATTAGTGAACAATAACACGAGTGAAGACACTTAATATATATAACAAAATACAAATAACCAATGTGTTTATTGAACATTTTTACATACTGAACACTTTTTATATGGAAATTCAAGACTGTCTCAAACATTAGAAAGAGTTCATTGAATCATAAATTAATGGTTCTTTTATGTAATATTTTTATCTTAAGATTATAATGCGCATTCCAAACAATAACTTTGGACCTTATATGAACTCAGCTGCGAAAAGGATGATGCACCTTGTTGATACAATTTCTATCAATGTATTATCTTAAGCTTTCCCAATTTGCATCATGTTAAGGCCCCAGGTATTATTATATTTTTAATAATGGTTATTTTTTATTTTGTTTCTTTTTTTGCTTTCAAGGAGTGAGCAGTAACAATTTTTGAATGATTATGACTTGAGTAATGTTACAAATAACACCAACTATAACATCAAATGCAAAGTAACATACTCACTATTTTCATTTAAATGATTTGGTGATAACTATTTTGTAACAATTAGACGTATATAAAATATTTATGATTTCGTCGAATATTTGTTATTTATTTATTTTCTATAATAATTTTTTTTATTCATACTAAAATTAAAATAAATGATATTTAAATCCAACATATATTAGTATGGAAAAATATTTATACTATGTGTATTATTGAAAGGTGATATTATTCACAATCTTCTAAAATTTCAATTATCTTAAAAAAGTAATAAAAGCAAAAGTAACTTTATTAACCACAAAGAACAATTTTATTAATTTATTATNTTCACATGGCATAAATAACTCTTATAGTCATCAGAAAAATGGTACAAAGGTCCCAAGCCTGGGTAACTTAGAGAACAACACCACCAGTGTTGCCTAGAGCAAATCACAAACCAAACCAACTCGACAGAAATGAGATAAAACCAGACCTAACAACTACCTGCCCCTATTCAGCAGTCTCTAAATTCCAAATAAACACATAAATGACAGATCAATACAATGAGAGCAAGAAGAAAAAGACCACTCACTCTAGACCTAGACTCTTCCTCCTTGCTCATAAACTTTACACCAATTTCCTGTCCTTGAAGCCACCAATCCCTGCAAGCTGCTTTGATAATCCAATACTCCGCTGCCACTTTTTTCGAAAACCCAGAGATTCCGAGCTCGCCAGAGCCACCACAGAATGTATGTGGTGAGTTGTATTCTGTCTTCACAAACCTCATCGAGCTTCATAGTACTTATCTACCACATATGACCAAAGAGCAAATTTCATTTATGCGATAAATTGAATAATATGATCGACAATATTTTCTATAATAATTCAAAATATATTAAAATAGTTTCTATTGTTGGCTTACATGTTCTTTTACTATATAAATAAATATTTTAAATTTAAATAATTATATTAGTTATATAGGAGGATTATACTCTAGTTTCTATCATTTTTAAACATATAATACTTGATATTTCTATTTTTCAATTAATTTTATTGAAAAATGAACAAAATTTTATTGAAAAATGATAATTAATAATTGTAACTCCTATATTAGTGATAAAATTACATTAGCGACCTTGGAAATTATTTATATTGAAAGGTGTTTTTGGCAATTCAATCTTCTCAAGAAACAACTCTCCCTTGAAGAGAGTTATATATAGATTATATTGCTATTAGCTTTTTATCTAAATGATTTGTTCAGCTAGTAAGCTGAAATCTTTTCGAACTCTTATTTTTTGAATGAAACAGTTACAAGTGCAGATAAACTACATAACTTTTATGTTTATACTCAACAAGACAAATTTATCATGTTGTATTGTTGCCACATTAGGATGCTTCTCGTATATGCAGTTTTTATTTTAGCTCCCAGAGCAATATACCTTTTATGTTCTACATATGTTGTCCATGTCTAAGATGTTAATGTTACAAACCTTAGGGTTTTGGTTAAAATGATACATTCACATATGAAGATGCCCATATCTATAAACTTAAGGCTTTAGTATATGGGTTGGGCTTCTAATATAGTTAACACCTCCTTTAAACTCAAGGTGGAGGTGAAGGTGGAGGTAGAGGATCTGAAGCATTGAGTTTGGGCAAGTGAAGCCGATGATTCTCTTTCAATTAACAAAATGAGAAGTGAGGGAGTAAGAATATGTTTTTGCTTCGTATGTTATGGATCACTTCATGGCTGGATCCAACCCCATAATGGGTGGGCCAACTAATGTGATTACTCCTTTTTTTTTTTTTTCAGATCGAACAATGACCAATTTATTGTAGAAATTTGCGGATCAATGATTAGACCACGCAAACTAGAAAGACTTTCTTGGAACAGAAGGGAATATGTATGGTCTTCCGAAGGAGTTAGTTGCTTTGTTGTTCATTGGATTGATGTCTGATAGCCTTTCCCCAACCTTTGTCATGTGTAGCTACGAAATATGTGTTGTGCTTTCCTTCACCTAAGAAAGAAGGCTAGGTTTAAAAGGTGCTGTCAAGTAGCTCGACCAACATGGTGCATGCTTTGATATTGCTCTTTAATTTGTGCTTTGGTGAAGAAATCAACCACTTCCAGCTCCGAGGGCATATAGCGAACAACAATTGTTTTGTGATGACAGTGAGACCAGGTAAAGGAACTACTGACTCCAATGTGTTTTGTAAGTGTATGATTCACAGAATCATTGGTAATCTGGATGGCTCTAGTATTATCACAAAGAATAGGTGTAAGAGCATCACATGGAATACCAAAATAGACGAATAACCATCGAAGCCATCTAATTTTAAAAGTGGTAGTAGCAAGTGCTTAAAGTTCTAACTCTATGCTAGACTGAGATACAACTGTCTGCTTCTCGGACATCAATGTAATAGGAGAAGAACCAAGAAAAATGCAATAACTAGAGACAGAATGACAATCTACTGGATTACTCGCCAAATAGAATCTGAGTAAGCATGGAGCTGAAGTGGACTATCACGAGCATATAACAAACACTAAGATGATGTTTCCCTTAAGTACCATAGCACATGAAACAAATGCTCAAAATGAACAGAAGTAGCACTCACAAGTTGACTGAACATTTGAACAATGTGAACAATGTCATAACGAGAAAAATCCTCAACAAGCGTACTACCAGTAGTTGGATGAAGCTGTAAGTGAAGATGTCGTCGTCCGATTATCATTCATACTAGAATAAAACAAAAAGGTCTTGTATGTATTTGTACTGGACTCAGAAAGGTAATAGCCCATAAGGCATCACCTCGATGCCCAAAAAGTAACCAAGTGTACTCAAATTGGACATCTGACCAAGTTGTTTTTGACATGAGAAATATGTTCCGCATCATCTCCCGTAATCAACATACAGAAGTAGACTGTGTCCACGTGGAGAAATGAATAATATGACAGAGATAAAATGGTCAAACCAAACACGTGGAGCCTGTTTGCGACCATATAAAGCGCGACGAAACATGTCCGGAGGCCTCATCAACACTCGGTGGTGGCTACATATAAACTTCCTCATTAATGAAGAAAAACATTCTTCACATCTATCTAATGTATGATTTAAGAGTTAGTAGCAGCCACTGCTACCGACAATGGTCATGTGAGAAACAGGAAAAGTCTCATGTCTGCTGAAAGCCTCTAACAACTAGACGAACTTTATATCTTGAATGGAGCCATTCGACATGGTCTTATTCTTAAAGACCCGCTTGCAGATGTTAGGTATGACATGTGATGGTAACCAAACAAGATCCTAAGTGGCAGTACGATCTAGTGCAACAAGCTCCTCTGACACCACTTTGGAAATACTCGAAGCTTCCTTGATGGTTCATCAATAATAGTACCCGCACGTGGAAAACCCAACCTATCAGGAGGCTCAATAGTAGCACAATAACGTAAATTATTTTCATGGCCAACCTGAGACTCTAGGAATAGCATGTGACACATCAGAATCAATATCATCAAGAACGGGAGCATTGGGACTGGTCGGGGTAGTAGAATGAGACGGAAGCTTAGTGTTACCTTTGAGACGAGGAGTATAATCTTGTGTGGTGTTGTTTATGTAGTAGAGGATCAGGGTGATCGTGAGTGGTTGAGATTAAGGAAGGAGAAGAGACATGACATCATCAATAGAGGAAATAAGAGGAAGATATAAGAAAGTAGACTCTGTAGAGATGTTAGGTGTGTAGAAGGGTTATAAAAGGACGGTCATCGGCAAATGTTACATCATGAGACATACAAATGCGAAGAGTGGAAGAATCGTAACAACGATAACCTTGCTCAAGACAATATCCTAAAAAGACAAACTTAATAGACTGAAGTTCTCACGAGGAGCAAGAAAAACATAACACATAGATTCGAAAACTCGAAAATGATTATAGTTAGGGAGAGTACCAAAAAGTACCTCACTAAGACACTTGCGAGACAGATTGGATGACGGTTGTTGGTTGATAAGATAAACGGCTGTAGACACAACCTCTCCCTAAAAATGAGAAGGAACAAATTAGACAATCAGAAGAATTCGAGCACTCTCAATGAGATTCTCAGTGAGATGACGGTGTTCTCTTTCTGCAACACCATTCTGAGCTCAGGACAAGAGAGTTGGGCAAGAGTGCCCTCAAAAGTAAGAAATTGACAAAAATTATCAGATAAATAGTCACCATACCACCAATAGGTGTAGAAAATTTAGTATGAACCATACGAGCAAAAATTTTGTAAATATAATACAACTGGAAATGATGTTTTATAAATTAAATTCAAGTATATCGAGAATGATCATCAATAAAAATAACATAATATTCATTACCACCGAAAAGCGGAAGAACCCCTTACATCAGAATGAATGAATAAGATCAAAAGGTAAAGAAGAATGAGAAATGCTAGTAAAATTGGGTGTTGTAGTTGTTTTCCAAGCTTGCAACCCTTACAATGAAAACTAGACTAGATAGTTATACGACCTAAATAATCAAAATAGACAAACAAGACCCACACAAATGACCAAGATGATGATGTCAGTTGGCAAAGGATGAGGTGGAAGATGAAGCAATGGAGGACACACGAGCGGTAGAACTTGTGAAAGAGGGAAGTCGCAAAGTGTCTAAAATTTAGTGACTCGGAGAACCTCTGGCCATTCCCAACCAGAGTCCCGCTTTGATTCCTGAATAAAGAAAGATGAGTCATCAAATCCAACAAATCAGTTTTGATCAATGACCTGGCCTGACTAAAGATTCATGGATAACTTAGAAAGATAAGAGATATGAGGCACTGAAAAACGTGAATTGCATAGAGTAGTCATGAGTAATATAACAAGAAGTGCCATCAGCTGTTTGAATATACCATTAGTTGACCGCCTTGCAATCAACCAAGTGGGATTGATGAAATGTCATGAAAAGATGCCCCTGAATTGAGGATTCAATACTGAGGAGCATGGACAGGAGATGCCGCGGTTGCAGATACGGACCCCTTTTTAGCATGTCCTAATATGAGCCTGAGCAGCACGGCATGAACGATACTCAACCAACTTTTCTGAGTAGAACAATTCTAGACACTGGTCTTCCTGCAATACTTACAAGGTTCTGAAGAACCACCTCTAGGTGCACTAAGCCTCAACTATCCTTTGCCAAGACATTATGGGATACTGACGGAGGAACAACTGACATAGAATGGAGACACTCAGCATTTAAATCTAATAATGCTTTTGCCATGGTCAGAGTAGAAGAGTTATGAAGTAAACAGAATGAACTCAAATTCTGCTCGAACTCTCATGAGAGCGATAAATAAAGAATTTCTCAACACACTTATGTGCTAAACACTCCTTTGTCTTGAGTTACCATTGAGATAAGTAGTCGCACCAGACAATGAAAAGCCAAAAAGTACTCATCAATGGACATGTCATTCTGTTCAATCACATGAATTTGTTTCATAAGTGTTTGCAAGAGTGCACCACTATCTTGAATATAACGTTGTTGCAAATAGGACCACATCCCCTTACCAAAGGGAAGAAAAGCTCAGAATTGTGGATTGTGGACATTGTTGATGATGGAATTTATCACTTTCCCGTAATTAATTTCAACATTACTATTATCGACCTTTCGTTCGTGTCCCTCATTAGTCTCTCTGGAAAGCTAAACCATAACCCCTCAGTTTCCACCACAGAAAAAGCCGACTCCCTCCCGATAGTTTTGGCCATTTGATAGCGATCGCATTGAGTTGTGACCTGATTCGTTTATGTATGACAACTATGCCTTTACGACAGGCGAACGACAACGTATCAAGCGAGCAGCGATGAGCATGCCCAAAAGATGCTGGTAGATGCATCGTAAGACCACACAACGGGTTAACAGTAAAAGAACAATAGACGAGGGCGAGAAACCCTAACCCAAAGTGATGTCGCATGCCAAACAAACACCAAAACTGCCCAAGACACAAAACTAAGAACAGTTCCCAAAAGATTATGAGCCGACGGCAGTTCAATGGAAAAAATCTTGCAAGCCACACACTCACATGCGCCGGCGCGTGAGGATGGGTGAAGACTGTCCGGCAGCGCGTGGGACCCACACGCGCGGACTCCGGCAACAAAAATGACCGGAAGGTCGATCCTGGGGCAGCGAGGCTATTGGTTAAACAGATCAGTTGTGCTGTGAGCAAAGCCACATGGTTGAACATGAAATTTATTTTGAATTATGATATAGAATGATTATTCATATCAACTAACATTACACATCTTCTTGAATATATTCCCACTTCTCTATTTTTATGGAGTGAACAGGTGCCTGTTCTCCAGCATTTCAATATAGCTGTTCATCCTGGAGAAGTAGTCGCCATTGTAAGTGCTCTCTCTCTCTTTCTCTCTGTGTGTGCTAGGGGAAGAAATGATTTTGAAGATCTGACTAACACCATTGAAAAAAATTAAATTAGAGGTCCTGAGCTCCATGTCGTAGGGTGTCTACATATCCTTATCTCACATATTATGATTGAGACAGATTGATAGCCATAAAAATTAGGTATCAGATATATAGGATAAGTAGAAAAAAATTACTTTTGTTTATGCCTTTTGGCTTGGCAGTTAGTAGGAAATGAGAAGTTGAGGGTTGACATGGCTGTTAGTGCAGATTTTAATATCCCTTAATAATATTATTTCTTCAATTAGCTCTTTAATTCATCATGATCATGCTTAGTTTTATCATTATTTTCAATTCAATACTGTCATCCAACAACCTTAACTTCTGTATGTATGGTTTTTCTAGAGGAACATCTTTTTATGATGCTTTCTTATGTACAAAACATTGAGACATTAATGCCCTATAGTTATCAATTTTTTCCAGGTGGGTCTTAGTGGTAGTGGGAAAAGCACCTTAGTCAACCTTTTGCTCCGTCTTTATGAGCCAACAAACGGCGAGGTAAACCATATATTCTATCTCTTGTATGGATAGGGAAGGAAGAATATGGGAAAACATTAGAAGATTTGGTGGCATATTATTAATCTTATAGAATCAGTTGTAGTGAGGGATAAGAAGTTAAGCATTTAAAATCCTTATAACAAATCAAATGATATTTTGGATGAGGTCATTCAACAGTGGACTTAAAATGCATTAAAGCTCTTTTTGAGTCAATATAGAGGGTTTCTAATCCATCTCATTTGGAGTCATTCCTCCAAACTCTCACCAAATGCTACTCCAATCCAAATTCCAAATGTAATTCCAGGAAGCTTAAATTCAATTCAAAGTTGACTCCTGCTCGTAATATGTCCAATATCCATAGTGTATTTCTTTGATTCTGATTATGGTTATGGCATGAAAAGAGACTATTGTGAGTTTAAATTTGGTGAAAGGATTTGAAAGATTGATTTAAAATGATTATCTGAGATGGATTTGAAATCTGCCAAAGGCTCAAAAAATAGCAAACAAAGATTTGAAACCCATTGATGACTTTATCCAAGCTACACCAATGAATTTGGTTATCGCAGACTTGAAATCATTAACTTCAAACCCATGAATTCTGATGAAGCCTTAGGATATGTCATGGTCAAATGTCTTGTCGATATTTATGATCTTTGGAAATTTCATTGTCTCACTATTACGTTCTTTCCAACTTAAGATAGTCCATATTTTTAATAGTTTCTATGCCTCACTATAGGGTTTTCATTTCAACTTCAGATACTGATTGACGGCCACCCAATGAGAGAACTGAACATCCAGTGGTTACGAGAAAGGATTGGATATGTTGGACAGGTACAGCTGATTTCTACTGGAAATCAAATGGCTTTAGGGTTTTTTTTGTGGTTTCTTATGGTTTTATTTTTATTTACTCCTTTTGGCAGTTTGTAGGTTTAGATTTTAGTTTTTTCAGTAATTATATTGTTTTTAAAATTTGTACTTGTTTTTTAGCTATTGTTAAACTAGTGCTTAGCCTGTGCGATACACGAAGCAATAATAATAAATTATATAAATAAAATAGTGAAAGAATATTCATTAGTATAAAAGATAGTTTTGAATGTTAATATTAATATTCTTTTTTCTTTTATTTATACAAAATATAGTATTCTGCTACATAATTTATATGTTTGTTTAACCGTTCTCTTTAGAGATTTTTTTTAGGACTAAGCAACATGAAAATTTAATGTGTTCAAATATTATATACAAAATAGTTGTCACATAAATACTTCTCTCTCTTCCCTTACTCATACCGTATTATAATATATTGTTTTTTTCCTTAAGTATTCCTTAAGTGATGGTAAAGTTGAAGAATTAGGGCAAATATTATAGTCACCACTAATTTTATCTGAATGTAGTTTATACTATTTCGAAGTAACAAAAATTTACTAATTTTTGATGACATGATTTTTTTATACAATTTATAATAATGTATAAAAAATTTGAATTTCCTCTTAGTCTACTAATTCATATTCTTTTTTTATAATTTATAATAATGTATAAAAATTTTGAGTTTCTTTTTATAATTCATATTTCTTTTGAATTTTGAATTTATAATATATATATATATATATTATTAATATTTTATTTTTTCTTTCAGAGTTAATAATTTCCCAGTTCAATAGATGATCGTTGGTTTGTCATCATAATTTGTAATAATATATATTATAAATATTTTGATTTCTTTTTCTCAACTTATATTTACATGGCAGTTCGATAGATGATTCACTAGGTTATCATAATTAACAATATATATTTTAAATATTTTGAATTCTTGTAATCTAATAATTACATGACAATTCGACAAATGATTCGTGGTTTATCTTTTTGATATCTGATGTGCAGTTGCACCACGAACCGACTCTCCCCAATATTTGCTCCCCGAAGACCTGCAAAGACGACGGGAGATGTTCCCGGCGTTAAACCTTCGACAATCAAGTTTGTATGAAAAGCTGTGTGAAAATATATTAAAAGCTTAGAGTGTATAAAGTGTTATTAGCCTTTATCTTTTTCCCAAACATCACCTATTTTTAGAAGATTATTAGCTTCCTGAACAAGCTAATTCCCTGCCCTGCCCGACTTGCATTTCTGCCCGATAGGGCTTCATATTAGTAATTTTAGCTTCACTCTCATTCCCCCGATTGTTTATCCTTATCCATGACTCTACACGTGTCTCTTATGGACAGCTTCAACTCGATCTACTACGTAGGTCGAACCGCCTCATACTAGAGTCATCTATTGAGCTTACCCAATGTCGAGCTCTCCAATATCCGAGCTATAAATCAATCTGTCCTTGCCAGGTTGTCCGAGCTACCTATATGCTGAGCTATTGACACTAACATACTATCTGAGCTCCTTAGAAACCGAGCTACTGACGCGGTATCCTAGCTGCTTATACGCCGAGCTATATATATATATATATATGTGTCGTTATTAACCAGTTGAACATCTAAATACTTTGAACTAACTGGCTTAGCTAATCCTCAGTTTATAATTCCGGCTAACCACAACCGATTCAGCCGTGCTATCTTTATGTGTTATATCATCTAGCCCTCCATTATTAAACGATCAATAGATCTCCGAGCTCCATAGACTTGTTTGATATTAACAACTAATTTTTTCACCTTGCTCGCCCCATTCAGTATTTTCAACTTGAAATCTCAGACATACTTCGTACCCTGCCCCCATCCCTGTCCCATATGTTAGTCCCGTCGAATTCTGCATCTATGGTTTTCATTTGAGCCCTTAGGTTCCTTTCGATCAGATGGTTAACCTTCATTTAATCCTTTATAAATATCCTCTCCTACTCAGGTTCATTTTTATACTTTCAAATTTTCAAATTCCCTTAGGCTCTGTTTGTTTTGAGGGATTTGAAATCACTTGATTTCAAAAATTTTTAAATATAAATTTTTTTACTTGCACACTCCTTGAATGAATGTGTTGAAAATATTATAAATAAAATGTCTAGCTCGCACCGATGGTGTTGTCGCGGTGGTGATGAACCTAAATGATCGCGGACGGTGTGGTCGTCAACAGTGGATTTCAAATGACTAGGTTTGAGGAGTCATTTAAAATCCTTCAAAATAATGACTAAAAAAACATCTAGCATGAATTTGAAATCCTCCAACATCCATTACCATCCCAAAATACATGAGGACCTGAACTTGTAAATTTAAAATCAATGGATTTCAAATCCCTCAGTAAATCCTTCAAAACAAGCGGAGCCTTAAGCAAAAAGATTCTCTGCAATTTTCGGCGACTTCCTTGCAATTGTTCGGTGTTCGTCTCCATTTCTTGTCCGGTTGATCCACCACCAGTTTTGGCTGCTCTCCCACCGCGGCCGGCTTCTCCACCGCCATCTGAGGCTGCGCTACCCTCGACTTACCAATCGCCTACGCGATAATCCGATCCAGCTCCCCCCTTAGTAAGCTGTATCACTTCTCACTACTCCACACCGGAGCTCCTTGACTCGGCGTCTGTACAACAACCTCCTTTCCTTTCCCCTGACCGACCACCATCTCCCATTCTAAGTCCGGCGTTAAGGCTTGGTTTACCCCTGGTAAGTTCATCTGAGGAGTAACCATCGTCCCTTCGCTACTAGCCCATCTCAAAGGTGGTCCGACCCCAAAAGGTGTTTTGGTTGCCCAAACCACTTCCAGGCCATCCAAATTCCTCCATCAACTTCTCATCCACCATAGTCGTTTTCTCCATCTTAGCTTCTCTGCAACCATAGAGCAACAGTGTTACACTACAGAACTGCAATTCGCGCAGTTGCACCTCGAACCGACTCTCCACAATCTCTCAACCGATTTGCTCCTCGGAGACGTGCAAAGACGCCGGGAGATGTTCCAGCGTTAAACTTCCGACGATCAAGTCAGTAAAATGATGTGAAAAGCTGTATGGAAATATATGAGTGTATAGTGATTGGCCTTTACCTTTTTTCCAACTTCACCTTTTCGCAGAAGATTATTAGCTTCCTGAACATGCTAATTCCCTGTCCGACTGCCCGAAGGCCCACCCGACCGCCCTTTCTGCCCGAAAGGGCTGTTAGTTATTTTAGCTTCACTCTCATCCGCCTGATTGTTTATCCCTTTTATCCATGACCCTACACGTGTCCTTTATGGACAACTTGAACTCAATCTTCTACGTTGGTCGAACCGCCTCCTACTGGAGTCCTCTATCGACCTTACCCAATGCGGTGCTTTCCAATATCCGAGGTATAAATCAATCTGTCCTTGCCAGGTTGTGTGAGTTCCCTACGTGCTGAGCTATTGACACTGACATACTATACTATTAGAGCTGTCGAGCTATAAATACAGACTCGTGCTTATACGCCGAGCTATTTACATGTGTTATTAACCGAGCTAGCTTATACGCCGAGCTATATACATGTGTTGTTATTAACCGAGTTATCTTGAACATCTAATTACTTTGAACCAACTGGCCTAGCTATTCCTCAGTTTATAATTCGAGCTAATTACAACCGGTTCAACCGAGCTATCTTTATTTGCTATATCAATATCGTATATACTTGATCCCTCGAAATAATTGTGTGAATAACTTTAGACTATTTTAGATTCGTGTTTGTCAATTACTAGTTTAGATTATTTTTATACTAAATATATTTTATTATACATGCATTCATATTTTATTGTATGAATAACTTTAGACCATTTTTTATTTTTATTTTTGAATTAGTATTTAAGTATAGTTTTACTTTATATATGAAATATTAACTAATAAACTTGTTAATACTTTAGTAATAATTATTCAGTTGAAATATTTACTAATCGCAAGTTATCGATATCATATCACTAAAAATAAAAATAAAATAGATTAGTTATAAATAAATAATGATTGAAAATTTTTGAGAAGTTTAATTATTATATTTAGATCAATTATTCACATCACAGTACCTAAAATAAAAATAAAATTCTCATCCAAGTAAAAAATCTTTAATATTTGAAAAACTTTCCTCATTAAGTAACTGATAATATTTTTTTTTTTTT